GGGAGGTGAGAGCATCGTCACATGATTCCCCTCACATTGTAGTAAAAATTCTCCGCAATGGTGGGTAGCCGATGGAATCTGTTCAGCCCTGGTACCATCCGTGTTTTGTTTTCTGGATCCGTGCCGTGCCAAACGAACTCGTGAACCCTGTGGGCACAATAGTTAGATATGACATACATTAGTTTTAGTTTATCATCACCATTATTATTATTTATCATGATTATGATTATTATGATTAAATTACTATTATTATTACTATACTTTGATAAAAAAAAAAGCCAATCTATCAATGATAAAAAGTCAAAATGTCTATAAATGAATGCAAATGTACATTTTGTAGAATGGTCTTCAAACAATAGATGACTATAATACTGGGTGACTGCCAACCCAGCTTCTCAATTTTCCAAGGGAGGGGCCTCATCCATTTTCCAAGAGCACGTTACATAACAATGACAGCGTGTGCTCCATTTATATCTAATATAATACATGTACAATGTATATGTTTGTGAATACACACACACACACACACACATGTAGGTTCATTATATCCAGTCAACAACAGGTCAGTGTGGCACTGGGATCTTGAGAGACTTTGGTATTTCAGTCTGTTCTTACTTATTTATATTTTCCCCTCATCATATTAGCCAACTTTACAAACTAGAGGCCCTATATAAAAAATTAATCCTGTTTTGAGCCTGAGAAAAGACCTAGAACTAGAAAATCGACTGTCAAGAACCAGTCTGGGTGTATTGATTCATATAATAAATGTGAAGACGAAAACTATTGATCAAACTCAAAGTAGAGTAATATTAATAATAACTAGAATGGCTCAAGTAGACCTATTCAGTGTGAGAGGTGTAAGAACTGAGGGAGGGCAAGATGCAGTGACACTGAAAATCTGCCAATCTTGAACAGAAAGCTAAAATAAGATATAAATCACAATCACCCCATCCAATGAAACGCCAACACTTTAGTTCAATAACAAGGCATACGGATCCCAATTCCACACAAGGCATGCGCCAACGCGCGCTTTGCAGAGAGCTCTAAAGCAGTTATCAAAATGCTAAAAATTTGCTTCCAAGTTCAGTTTTTGTCCTCTAGCGTTGCCTTCAGCCCCCCCCCCCCCTCCCCTTCCACGAGTGTATCTTATAAAGGAGTCCTATACTTCACAGCGCTCAGACCGCCGGTACTCACAGGTTCATTGACCGGTCACGAGGGCGAACCTGTCAAGACGCTTGTATAAGTTCTTTTTATTTTTTTTTCACAAGTGACAGCAGAGGGCAATTTTTAATATAGATTTATTTTCAAGGCGACACAGCGTTCATAATGCATAACCTGCATGTTACAAATGTTGCGTTATCTATCAGATTAGATCTATTACCGGAAAATTTCTGGGCGGTAACGAAAGCGAAAGTAGATCTTGATTCTACCCGATCGAGCCTCGGTGTCACACATACACTTCCGCCACAGCGGTTAAATTACGTTTCATCTTCAGGATTCATCAACCATACAGTCCAGATAGCTACACATTACACAGGCCCCATCCTTTCCCGACTTAACGACCCATCACAAAATTCCCGACTTTTTCCCGATTTCCCGACCTGGTGGGGACCCTGTACATAAAAAAGTTGACACATTTTCCTCCACATTACTTGATCTGTTGAGCTCTAACACCGAACAAGAAGATTTCAACAGATTCAGCTGACAAAACGATGATGAAATAATTTCAATTTTTTTCAAGTTTACTGGTTGACAGTGGTTACAGCTTTATATGTTGTTTTTATTGTTCCAGCCTGGTTACGGCTTTTATATAAACAGGTGCCCTCAATAGCCCGAACTTTACAGAAAAAAAAACTTAAACCAAAAACTACACACACTCACTCAAACAAACATTTTTGGGGGGGAGGGGAGGGGAGGGGGTGTTGTGCAATCCAGACACACAGACAGACATAAAAATCACCATTCTTCTGCCTCTGGGATAAAGAGTGCTGGCCCTTTGACGATCCTACGCTGTGAGTGACCTCCCTTGAGTCGCCGGTACACCACCAACATGTGGTTTGCGTCGACACATTGTGCCTCTTGACATTTGACCTCTGAGTAAGTGAGAGGGTTGTTGAAAACTTGGCACGGCCTGGATGAGTAAAGGTGGATTTGGAGTAAAGTTGGAGTCTTAGCAATGTGGGGGGTTAAGTGAAATCTGCAAAGGTGGATTTTGAATAAAGTTGCAGTGTGAGTAAAGTTGCAGTGAGTGAAGTTGGAGTTTCAGTTAAAGGTAGGGTTTGAGTTTGAGTAAAAGTGGAATTTGAGTAAAGTTGGAGTTGGAGTTAAGCTGCACTTTGGGTAAAGATAGAGTGAGTAAAGTTGGAGATTGAGTAAAGATAGAGTGAGTAAAGTTGGAGATTGAGTAAAGATAGAGTTTGAGTAAAGTCAACAAAATAATGATAGTTTAGTGCTACAAAAGACGACATCAGTTGTCATGCTGACTAATTTTTGTTAAAAAAAGGTCCACAAGCACCTGAAATGACACTGATCTATTCAGAATAAAAAGGTTTGGTATGTAAGAAAATAAAAACAGCACGAGGAAATTTAACAAGAACGGTACCCGTGTCTGTGTATGATGGATCCGTTATTCTCCTGAATCTCCACATACTGGAAGCGGTCAGCGGTGTTGGGTCGCAGGAACTTGAAGCGTTCTCGAAACAAGAACACCTGGCAAAGACAAAAACATGGTCACATGGTCACTGTATCTACAATGTATTGCGAACATTTTTTTAAAAGAAAAGAGCAGGAGAGAGAAAGAAAGAGAGAAAAAATTTGTAGAGAAGATTCTAGATCTATAAATCTAGCCTACTTAGAATCTAGATCTAGAATCTAGAATATATTTAAAATAAGAGTGGATCTAGATCTAGATTAGATCTACTGATTCACTGTCAGTAAAAGCAAAAAAAAACACACAAAAAAAAACAGTCGTCTACAAAATATGATAAAATCTAAAGAAGATTTTATTTCTAATCTAAAGGTGAGGTTATAAAATTCATCTATTTTTACCTCATCTAAAGATAAGCATTGTAGCTATTGATTTTGATTGTTCTATTACAAGCATACATACTATGGCTTTTTGAATTTGAAGATATGGAGGCAGCCATCATGGTACACCAGAACTGATCTTTGTTCAGAAGAGTTAGGCTACACAATAAACAAGGGGCCAAAAGGGGATGCAATCATGATAATCAATGGGTTACTATACTTAGAAGATTTATGTCCCTCTATTCCGTATAATTATTACAGGTTGATCGTTACTTTTATTACAAATAATAAAATGTTTGGTATCTTTTCCCATGTACAAAGTGAGCTCCTCACCCTTTGTGGCCCTTCAATAATCCGACCTTCTCCCAGATGGTTCAGTATGATGGCTCTCTGACCATCTCGCACAGTTTTGAACTTCATCGTCCGGCACTTCAGGAAAAGTTCACAAGTAGATTCAGCCTATCCAAACCTGAATCCATGAAGTTAGAAAAAAAAAATTCAGATACAGACACCACAAATATAAACAATTTCAAAGCAATTACTTTTTAACTGTGAACGCTTCACGCCCCCATCAACACAATTTAGTAAAAACAAAAGGAAGACTGCATGAGCCTTCACCCCCCCCCCCCCTCCCTAAGAGTGCTACATGATACAGTAGGCCTATAGCACAAGAAGATACACACAGAAGGGCACAGAGAATAACTTATAAGTTGTAGAGAAAGTTTCAGGTTTAGTTTATTTAATGGGCTGGGTGATGGTCATTTCACACCATGAACAGCAAACAACAGTGAAAAAAACAACAGCAAAAAAACAAAAACAAACCGAACTTCACTAGAATCTAGATCTAGACCTAGACATCTAGATATCTAGATCTATGGTTATGCTAGAACAAAATGTCAAGAGCAGAACGCATCTGATACCTACCGCGGGTCCTCACAATTATAGCCTAATTAATATTTTAGGAAGGCTAATTGATTTTTTTTTAAAATAAGGCTATCATCTAGATCTAGATCTAGATCTAGATATCGCTGGTGGAGTGATGAAACCTCTTAACCCTCAATTTTTTCGAAAATCGTTTTTTTGCCTAAATGTCTTCTCCCAGTCCTTCTTCACATTGTGTCAAAAGCACTAGGTTAAATTATGAAGAGAAAGTAAGAAAAAAACTTACTGAAAAAACCTTGTATGTTTGCCCCTATGATATCCCGGCGTGATGAAACCTCGCAACCCTCACCTGGTGCGCCGAACTGCTTTTGCGTGGTTTCATCACTCCCGGTTTGAGAGAGCGACTTGCTTATACGAGGTTCTGGACAAGCCTTCTTTATGAATTGACTTAATGGAAGCGCTCAAAATTGTCATTTTCTAGCGCATTTTACTGTCCCAGTAGGATTATGCGATTGTGCGGCCGCGGCGCGGCCGCATTTTTTCCGCGTAATTATGCACATTTGCATAATTTTTTATTCCCCGCGTTTTTTCATGTTTTTTCCTTTTTTTAAAACAAAACAATTAATTTTACTAATTAACGCCTCGCCACGTGACTAAAGGGAAATAATCACCGTAATAAGTCTTATTTAAGAGAAAACTGGTTATTTCCCTTGGTAGAAGATCTTGGTTATGGTTTGGGATTTTGTTCCTTGAGCATTTTCAATTTTTCAATCCATCAAAAGTTGTTGTTCTCATGTCTGCTGATGCTTCATGTTTGACAGGTGTCCCTGGTTTTAGTAATGTGCCAGCATCAGAGGTCCAGATGTCCTTTTTTTTCTTTTTTTTTCTTTCCCAGATCTAGATCTAGATCTAGATCTAGATCTAGATTTTTCTAGATCTACAGCTGAAAGTTACAGAGATTATATTTTTTTTTTTTTTTTTTTTTTTTTTTTTTTTACAGATGTGTATTGTTTTCTTTCCAAATACACTACAAATTACTGATACTGAATGTTCTGTTAAAAATTTTTCTGTACTTAAAACATAAAAGTCATGAAAATTTGTGTTGAAGAAGTGCAAAACATGTCGCGAAAGGTGTTACGGTAACTTGCATGATTTTTGCATAATTTGGCTTTTTTGGGGCATAATTTGGATGTCACACGAGAGGGTAAGGTTTCAGCCCTTTTCAGACTATGAATCCACTGATTAGTCTAATCTTTCAGTCGTGGTTGAAACCAAATAGTACTGAACCTACCCATGTTCTTCTTGACCCTGAAGTCTATAGAGGACATTGTGACAAATTTGTGCCACAACAATACAAGTGATATGGACATTTACGCAACTGTTTTGAATATATCTAACCCCAACTGTGCTCGCATCACCTAGATTTTTACACCATCCAAGGGCTGGTTTGGAAACCAATGAGCAGACCCCGTTCCATGAATTGACTCCAGCTACCGTTTCGCAGTCCTTTCCAGGGATGTGTCTTATATGTAGAGACAAGGAAATATCAGCATCATCCCAGACTGAGTCTGCACCAATAGCAGTGTTGCCTGGAATCATGCCCCAAACCATACTGACGTTTCACCAGGTAGCTGTAAGTCAGCTGCTGAATTATTGGAGTCACAGCAACACGATCTGCAAACCACATCCCTAGGTCCATCTCGCCTTCAGGCACCTTAGCCACTTTTCCTGGAGCCTGATCCAGAAACACAGCTCATTTGGGATGCCACAGAGGAAAAGAAAGGGTTTTCAGGGGTGGCAACAGATAAGCGAAGGCCATCCGTGGATCTGGTCAGGAATACCATAATGACTCAATGAAAAGCCCAGCTACGTCACTGAAACCAAACTGTGATTGCAAGAGCTGAACACTGAAATGTAAAGGGCAAAGGGCTCTCGAGGAAGACAGAACATATTAATTTTGATTTAGCGTGGTACTCTCATGAGATGAAAAAAAATGTCTCTTTATTGGACTAGTGGACATACACCAACCTCATAGGGATTAGGAGGCATTCAGAAACTAACCAGATAGGGCATACCTTCAAATACACATTTAAAATGGTGTCATAATGTGCCAGTGTGTAAAAAGATGTTCATGAATTTAACTGGGTTGAGTCAATGATTTGAAAGAAACATTTAGAACCAATTATCAAAGGAACTCAGATATCTACAAAATGTATGCACAATTCTGCCAAGATCACGGGAGGTAGCCTCTCAACAGGCACCCCCCCCTCCCCCCCATCAATGAAACAACCAGGAAGAATAGCCTGTCTTGTTTATGCCAAAGAAAGATATGTGCGACCTTTGCATTATCCGTGAAGTTGGCAAAGTGCGGATGATGTTTGGAATGCTCACACACTAGAAAAGGGGCAGCGGGCAAGGAAAAGGAACGAGACAAATCTGAAGCCATCAAATATCTCGCCAGTGATGAACCTAAAACGGCGCATGTTTTCTATGGATCTTCAGCTTGTACTTCTTACACTTACACTCACCCAAACTGAATGCATCAGCCTTATATTACAAAACAAAGCGTGTCGTTCATAACTTTACGATATTTGAAGCTGCAACACATCAGACTACTTGCTACGTGTGGCATGAAGCAGAAGAGGGAATTAGCAAATAGGTTTGCTTCATGTCTACTGGCTTTCTTAAAGGAAAAGCTGTACTTCCAGAAAACCATAATCGACCACGACGGCTGTGGTTACCAATACAGAAATGCCACACTTGCCAATGTTTCTCTCAGCCTGTTTGCAACAACACATGGTAGCACAATTGAACAGAAATGATTGATCAAAGGACACACAAATGTAAGTTGACTGTACACTCAACTATTGAAAGATCAGTTCAAAAAGCACGAATCGAGATCCCCCTACACTACCTCCATTTCTCCAAGATGGCCAGAGAAAAACCAGACGAATATTTGGATTACACATTATTCTAAGTGTGGAAACTACAAGTCTATCAGACTAGGAAGAAAAACGGGTGATCCTGTTGTCACTGAAATCAGGTGTTTGAAGTACACCCCAGACATGAACATCCAGTTCAAGCTGCACTTCAGTGATGAATGGGCTGACGTTACGAAGGCAGGACACAGAAACACGAGGTCCATCCTGCTACACCACTGAACACAGAACGTCTTAAAATCCAGCACTCCCAAGTACAATCACCTGTAGGAGCTTGAATCCGTTATTTCCTATACGTCATCACTTTATAACAGTTTACCCCCTTATCATTAATAGCTATTCATTGGGGGGGGTTCAGTCCAAGACATCGTACTGATCTTTTGGGGGGGGGTTTTGTCTGCATGTACGTTATGTATTTTCATAATTAACCCAATTAGTATTCATGACCCACCACCTTTTATTTGATTGACATCCTCCATTCGTTTTTCAAAGCATTTTGTGTCCTGCGTTTGTGTGTGTATCTATGTGTGTGTGTGTGTGTGTGTGTGTGTGTGTGTATTACATTGTTTTCTTAATAAATTTTGTAATGGACTGACGCATTAAAACTTTGAAAAATATGTCTATATTTTGATCTAGATCTATTTCTTACCATTGTAAAAGCCATCTGTAGTGCAACCAGAGACCATATTGCAGAGATATACTATTCATTTGAGCTTTTTTGTTAAATGAAAGTAACCAGATCTAATCCTGGAAAATCATATTGAAACAGATTGCACAAATCGCTGATCCGTTTGAGGTTTCAAACCCAAATTCTGCAGATAGATAACACACATTTATTTGACTTCAGTAGGCCGGGAATCCAACTCTTTAAACTAACTGATCTTGAAGAAACATCTTTATCACTTTGTGGCGTTCCAAACAACAGAGATGCATACTGAAACCAAATGAGCTGCGAGAAAACTCGCAACCCTCAAACTCTGTCCTGATGAAACCTCGCAACCTTCCCGCAGGCTGACTACGAGGTTTCAACACGACAAAAATGTTGTAATGAAACCTCGCATCCCACAGCGTAACCATTTAAACAGTAGAAAAGTGATTTTTATGTACTAACCACGTTTCTAAGGTGTTTTCATTTACCTGTACCAACTTTCGTTTATATAAATCATTTTGTTCCCGAGTAAATCATTTTTTTGTCTCTCCTGTAAAATTTTCCTTTCTGGGGTTGCGAGGTTTCATCACTCCACCAGCGATATATGGCCTGCGAGAGGTCAGGGGGAATCCTCGCCTTATCATCTCATGCCCACACCGATGTTGGGGTGAGAATAACAGATCATGAGCTATTCTCACGCCAGGGATGAGAATATAAGACAAGATCTTGGTGGCCAATTAAATAACCCAGGAACATTTAGATAGAAGTATAGAAGAAGGCCACCTCTATTCTCACCCGGGGTGAGAATAGTGCAGGCGAGTCTTTTGGCTATTCTCACCCGGTGCGCGTGTCAACAAATTTTGCGTTCACCCTAAACCACAGAATTCTACACTGTGATAACAGAAAAATTGTAGAATTCTGTGCTGTGAACAAACGTTCCATTACAACTGTACTTGTAGCCTACTAAAAGCGTACAATTTTGTCTGTGGGCAGTGGAGAGAGAGAGTGAGAGAGAGAAAGAGAGAGAACAAAACAAAATGGCGACCCGCGTAGTTCGGCTCGATTCGAAAAGTTAAATAGCCGTAGCATCTTTGTAGACAACCAAATTAATTTACTTTTGTGTTTTAACATCACTTTTTAACTTTGTTTTGGTCAATTTGATCGTCCACACCGATAGAAGACAGTATTCAGAAAGAGACAGAGAGAGAGAGAGAAGAGGGGAGGAGTAGATCTTGCGAGAACTTCCGGGCGGGTGAGAATAGCCACTTTCATAGAAGAAAACATTCAACAAGTGGCCGATACAATATTCAATATAGATCTAGATCTAGATCTAGATCTACTATATCTATTGACACATGTTTTAATTTGATACATATATTCTAAGTCGCGTCAAATTTGCAATATATAGATTATCTAGATCTAGATTTTTTTTTTCTAGATTCTAGATCTAGATTCCAGATCTAGATCTAGATTCTAGATCTAGAATCTAGTAGCCAACCAAAACTCCTTACCTTTCGACTTTCGATTTTGATTAGCATTTGACTTGTTATTAGATCTATTTAATCTGGACCAAGATTCCAGACCTAGCAGTAAAGTTACAAAGCAATCTATAACACTCGGTCAGTCGCGGTCTCGTTGAAATACTCCAAATAAACGGAATAACCTGCATTTATCCAGCAGAAAGCCCACAATTACCTTCGAATTGTTCCAAACCTCTCTCTGATTCTATTCATTTGAGATAATATCCTGATGGTCGTGACAGAGAGTCTAGAATCGTGATGATAACATTGCTAGTGGGCGGGACCTATGACAAAGATGCTATTTTTAGACGGCGCATTTTTCAGGCAGCCGTCAGTCATACAAATAAATCAATAAACAAAATACATTGATCAGTTAATTTTAGCGTTCATTTGGCTATCAATATAAAACACAATATGTTTAATAATTATCATCTTTCAACAGGTCGGGTAAGACAAAAGACAAGGAGCGAAAAATAAAAACTGTAAACCAGCCAATTTTTTATCATAGAATTGAAGACATAATATTATTATTATTATTGAAACATACACACATAGCTGTGGTACCACAGAATTCTACACTCACTGAGTGTAGAATGTGTATGGCACACACATTGGGTTGGGGGGGGGGGGGGGGGGGGTCGAGGGAGAGAGAGAGAGAGAGAGAGAGAGAGAGAGAGAGAGAGAGAGAGAGAGAGAGAGAGAGAGAGAGAGGAAAATGGGTCGGGGCTGGAGGGTGAGAGGGAGAGAGGGAGGAAGACAGGGGTAAGCATGAAAATACACGTATTACTATTATTACCATTACCTTAATATTATTATTATTATAAAGTATCATCACTAATGATAGTTTGTTTCGTGAATTCATACTGGCATCCTTTGGTCAATGCAAAACTGAAAATGTAACAAAACAATATGCCAAAGAGTTCTACCCCTTAGTAACGTCTTCCTTTATCTTTTGGCATACAAAGAATTTTAAGTACATGTACATGTACTATGACAATATTTCTGCACTGTTATAGGCGGATTTATACATTTTATGAATCTATTATGCGGGATATACAGACACAGCTGACCCACGGTCAAAAATTGAAAATCTAACTTTTTAAATATTTATTTTTAGATATAATCAAAGATTGTATGTATAACAAGATAGTTCACTCAGCCAGAAAAGTGTCCGCGGAAGTTCAGATGTCGCTGCAGTCTTTGTTTTGAAGCTCTCTTATGTTTCTCCCGAGGGAGAATAGGAATAGCACTCCCTTGTGCATCAGCTGTTCCGGTTCGCTCAGTGCGGAGTTTTCGGTTCATTTTATTTTAATGACCTCTTGTCTCTTGTTTTAAAGCCAAATTAAACAAAGAAAACTGTCGCCCCTTCTACCTGAAGAACATTTTTGTCAGCGTAACCAATTAAAAAGGCGTTATTCCGAAATTTTAATCGTAAATAATTCAAAAACTTGTAAGTTTCACCAGAGAGTGGTTTCACTTTCATTTTTTTCCACACAAGTAGGGTAACTCTGTTCGCAAAGTGGGCGCTTTTTCGAAGAGGGCGCCACCGGATTTTGAGAACACTTTTTTAATTGGTTGAAAGAGAGGACAGAGGGGTGAACCGTCTTGTTTATACAAAATCTTTGATATAATATTTGAGCTGAAAATTGGTCACAACAAACATGATGGCGGAGCAAGAGAGTTTTGTGAAGATGTATGGTTCTGTTGGATCGGCTGCAACCACTCTGTGTGTTCTGTAGATGGAAGACATAAACTGAGGCGTTAAGAGGCCTTCCAAGTAATTGTTTAATACGCAAACAGCAGGAAGAGTGGCGAATTGACAGAGTAGCAGGTAGGATCTAGAGTCTAGATTTTTAGATGCGGTGCGCCGAGTCAACCGAGTTGTCGAGTTTCACATCTTCACCGACTGTTTACACTAACTTCTAGATTCTAGATCTAGATTTAGATCTAGATTCTAACTCTAAATAGTTTAGATCTACTGTAACTCTAGGCAGAGTAACGCCTTAGGTAAATTTTTAGGCCGAAATTTTTACTTTCACTCCTGCACACAGATGCACTGCTTCGGCGGATGTCAAACTACACTCCTAAGACTTAAGGCCTACAGTATTACCATTGTCATTGTTTGGTGCAGATCACAATATAATATAAGCCGCCGCCAAACATGGCGCAAAACAATTATTTCGAAGTGGCTAGCTGTACTTAAGTACGGCCAGACTGCCAGTCTAGCCGTACTT